ATCAAAAACTCAGTAGCATTTCTATACACTAACAGATAACTACCTAAAAAAGAAATTTAAAAATTCCATTTACAATAGCTACAAAAATTAAAATACTTAGGAATACATTTAACCAAAAAGATGAAAGATCTGCACACTGAAAACTGGAACACTCATGAAAGAAACTGAAGAAGACACGGGTAAATGGAATGTTAAGCCATGTTCACAGATTGGAAGAGCTGATATTGCTAAAATCTCTATACTACATAAAGTGATCTACAGATTCAATGCAGTACCTATCAAAATACCAGTGACATTCTTCACAGAAATAGAAAACAGAAGAAATAGAAATAGAAAATGACCAATGACATTCTTATGTAAAATACCAGTGACATTCTTCATGGAAATAGAAAATAGAAAAAAAATCCTAAAATTCATATAGAACCACAAAAGACCTCAAATGGCCAAAGCAGCCTTCAGCAAAACAGAACAAAACAAACAAACGAAAAGCTGGAAGCATCACACTACCTGACTTCAAAATACACTGCAAAGCCCCAGTAATTGAAACAGCATGGTACTGGCATAAAAACAGGCACATAGACCAAGGAACAGAACAGGGAACCCCGGTAGGCACAAGGTGCTAATCTTGATTTATGGGGGTCCTGGTACTCCAAGCTTGTCTCAGGACCCTGGCACACTCAAATCCCACTGTCTGAAGGCACTTTCTTCTTCCCTGCACCCCTCTTCGGTGTGTTACTGCTTTTTCTCCTTTGGTTGAACTCAGAGTCTTTGTTGGGAAAAGCTGGTTCCCTGGTGTCTTTTCTCCCACTGTACACAGGGTCGCTGGTGTCAGGGGGTCTTTGCCCAGCTTGCCTACCCTGCTCCACCCTCTCCTTGGTCCTCACTTCCATCTTCCTGGAACTGCCTGGAGCAGGAGGGGTTCTGGGACTGCAACCCAGGTAGAAAGAGGAGGCTGAGGTGGGTTGACAGAGGCCAGGGTCCTTAGATGGCCTCTGAGCTTTGTCTGTTTTCCGGGAATCGGCACTCCCTTCCTGACAGAGATTTTTATTTCCTCTTGTGTGTGGCCAGCAGCCTCTCCCGGGCCCACAGGAAGAGCTTTGTCTTGTAAACACCAAGGTGTGGAGGGAGGGGGCCTTTTAACTCACATCTATGAATTATGGGCTGGGCTGGTGGAAGCTCCTCACCCACTGTGTCCCCAGCCCCCTCGCCTGTGCTGCCATCAGGGGCTTGGCACCTTCAGCAGAATTTGGGTGCCTGTGAAGCCCCCGTCCCATCCTGGCCCTCTGGATGGGGGCCAGTGGGACCTTTGCCTTTCCTCTGCTGCCAGGGCTCCAAGTCCCAGGAAGTGGGGCAGCCAGTGGGGGGGATGCAAAGGCCAATTATGGGGAAAAAGCAATCAGAAGGCTGCCGGAGCACACCCTCCGCGGGTCTGTGCTTGCCCTGCCTGTCTGCATGTCTCCTCCCCGGGCCCGTGCCATCCACAGCATGTGCACACACCAAATGCACACACAGCACATGCATGCACACACACTTCAGGCACACAGACACTACATGCATGTGCTCACACCACATGCACACACATCACGTGCACACACCACGTACATGCACATACACCACTCAGAGCATGCACACACTAAACCCACAGCATGAACACACATCACAGCCATGCACACAACATGCATGCATTCACGTATCCTGTACCCACAGCATGCAAACACTCCACATGCACTCACATGACACACAGCACACACACTCCACATGCACTCACACGACCACACACAGCACACACACACTCCACATGCACTCACACGATCACACACAGAACACAAATACCCCACATGCACTCACACGACCACACACAGCACACATACACACTCCACATGCACCCACGCTACTACACACAGCACACACACACTCCACATGCACTCACATGACCACACGCAGCACACACATACTCCACATGCACTCACACGACCACACACAGCACACACATACCCCACATGTGCTCACACGACCACACACAGCACACACACACTCCACATGCACGACCACACACAGCACCCAAATACCCCACATGCACTCACACGACCACACACAGCACACACACACTCCACATGCACTCACACGACCACACACAGCACACAAATACCCCACATGTACTCACACGACCACACACAGCACACACACACTCCACATGCACTCACACGACCACACACAGCACACACACACTCCACATGTACCCACATGACCACACACAGCACACACACACTCCACATGCACTCACACGATCACACACAGAACACAAATACCCCACATGCACTCACACGACCACACACAGCACACATACACACTCCACATGCACCCACGCTACTACACACAGCACACACACACTCCACATGCACTCACATGACCACACRCAGCACACACATACTCCACATGCACTCACACGACCACACACAGCACACACATACCCCACATGTGCTCACACGACCACACACAGCACACACACACTCCACATGCACGACCACACACAGCACCCAAATACCCCACATGCACTCACACGACCACACACAGCACACACACACTCCACATGCACTCACATGACCACACACAGCACACAAATACCCCACATGCACTCACACGACCACACACAGCACACACACACTCCACATGCACTCACACCACACACAGCACACAAATACCCCACATGCACTCACATGACCACACACAGCACACACATGCTCCACATGCACTCACATGACCACACACAGCACATGCTCCACATGCACTATTGCAGAACCCCATGTCTGCAGATAGAACTGCCAGTTAGTTGCTCCTGGTCTGAGAGGTCCTGGTGGCCTTGGCTCCCTGGTGTCCTTCTGCACATAGGGTGAGTGCCCTGGCATAGGGGAGTGCCCCGGCATACGGGGACTGCCATGGCATAAGGGGAGTGCTGTGGCATAGGGGGAGTGCCGTGGCATGGGGGGGTGCCGTGGCATGGGGGAGTGCCGTGGCATAAAGGGAGTGCCGTGGCATAGGGTAGTGCTGTGGCATAGGGGGAGTGACCTGGCATAGGGGGAGTGCCGTGGCATGGGGGGTGCCGTGGCATGGGGGAGTGCCATGGCATGGGGGGTGCCGTGGCATGGGGGAGTGCCGTGGCATAGGGGAGTGCCATGGCATAGGGGGTGCTGTGGGATGGGGGGTGCCGTGGCATGGGGGAGTGCCGTGGCATAGGGGGAGTGACCTGGCATACGGGGAGTGCCGTGGCATAGGGGGTGCTGTGGGATGGGGGGTGCCGTGGCATATGGGGGTGCCCTGGCTGGATCAGGCCCACTGAGGGTGGCTCCCCACAGAGGTGGTTCGGGCAGGCACCACCTTCAGAAATGTGAGAAATCTAGTACTTGGCCTGAGGGGTTGGGTTTTGGAAACTGTCTGTTCTGGTTTTCTTGTCTTTCTTTTTTTCCCGAGACAGGGGCTCACTCTGTCGTGGTGCGACCTTACTCACTAAAACCTCCGCCTCCTGGATTCAAGCGATTCTCCTGCCTTGGCCTCCAGGGTAGCTGAGATTACAGATATGCGCCACCATGCCTGGCTAACTTTTGTATTTTCTTTTTAGTAGAGATGGGATTTCACTATGATGGCCAGGCTGGTCTCGAACTCCTGACCTTAGGTGAGCCACCTACCTCAGCCTGCCAAAGTGCTGTTTTGGTTTTCTTAAAAGTATCAGGGCTGGACATGGAAACTACTGGGCGGGAAAGCAGGATCCGGCATGGGTGGTCCCCTAGGACCCGGCTGCTCTTCCTCAGAACCACCAGGAGACCCTGGAGAGAACTAGAAACAGGATGGCCGGGCCTTCTCCTGCATCCCAGGGGGCCTTGGCGCAGGGATGACAGCAGGGGCTCCTTGTCCTCGGGAGGCTCCTGGGCCTGGATGCCCACAACCCTGAGGCCCCAGCCCCAGCCTCCTTGCTCCTCGGACTCCTCATGGGCAGGGCAGGGCAGAGCCTGGAAGCACAAGCTGGGCCCAGAGGAGTTTGGGTCACAACCCAGCCTGGGACCAGCCACTCCTACCGCCAAGGCCCCCACCCTGGGAGCTGTGCCCCCTCACAGCCCCCACCACCTCACAGGCTCTGTGCCCGCCTCCCAGCCACTGCCTGGGGAGACAGCTACCCTTGCTCTGGTGGTTTCGTCCGTCCCGACCTGCCGCGGTTGGCGTGGGATGTGTGTCTCTGGCTGAGGAAAGTTAATTTGGATGTGCAATGGTCAGTGGTCACATGCCATCAGCCCGAGGACAGGGCTCAGTTTCCCCATCTGTAAAGGGAATGCCCCTCCCTGGTCTCCAAGGACCTACAGACCCCACCTCTGGTGATCCCTTGGGGCTTTTGGGGCCACATTCAGGGGTTGGAAGGGCAAGAGGCCATAAGGAGGGAAGGGAGGGGGCTCTTCTCCCTAGGAAGGTGCTGTGGGAAGGGGCTCAGGAGGTAATGCTCTGGTCACCCCTGTCCTACAGGGAGGAGTGGGCTCCTGTGGGCTGGGGGAGTTTCTAGACCCAGAGTGTGGGCCACAGGGCAGAGGCTTGGAGGGAAGAAAGCGTGAAGGAGGATGAGGGAGGGAACCAGGCCAGAGACCCCTCCTGGGCTGGCACCTGCCTCTGTTGAGGGGGCTCCTGGCACTCCAGCCACCACCTGGAGGGACCTAGATGGATGCCTGGCCTGTGGAGGTGCCGGGTGGGGCTCCTGGGAGGCACTGCAGAGAGCATGCGTAGAGGAAGAGGCTGCTTCCTGGTGGGAGGAGTCGGGCCACCTTCCAGACTGGGTCCTGGCACTGGCCATGCGCTTAGCCTTCCTTTCTGTCCCCAAGAATTAGCCGTTCGGGATTGTCTGGCTGAAGGAAAAGCTGGTTGAAGTCACAGGTGAAGACCCTTGCACTCCCCACCCCACCACTTCCACTGCCCCCTCTCCCACCCCTGTTCGACCGGAAGGACATTCACAGAGCAGGAAGCCGCTGCTGGAAAGCGTTTATTTTCTGTTGCCCTGCCTGCGGTGCTGTTGCCAGGAGCTGGGCTGGAAGGGCCGGAGGTGGGGCTCTCCGAGAGGCCCCTGTCCAGCCAGGTCTTGTGGGCCCTGGATCTTAGGTCAGTGATTAACTGACGGCCCTGCGGGATTGGCGCGCTTGTTGGCAGGTGGCAGGGCACTGGGCAGGTGGGTGGCAGCAGCGGCTGGGGTCAGCACAGCGGCCTGGACTGCCCGCCCCTCCCCTGCCCGCACTGGGCGGCAGAGCGGAATGAACTCCAGCACAGCCTGTGTTTGCTGAGCACTCTAGGGTCTGAGGCTGTGGACACCGTGGGCACCCCGTGTGTGTGCGCACGCATGGGCATGTGCCAGTGTGCGTGCATGCAAGAGAGAGCTAGTGTGAGGTCACTACGACTGTGCGTCCTGGGTGGAATTCATGACCGTGGCGAGGCCCCTTTAAAGCTTCTGGAGGAGCCCGTGGTGCCTGAGTCGCAGGAGGGTCCTCACAGCAGCGCCAAGAGGAGGGGCCCCAAGCTGAGCAGGAGGCCCCCGGCCAGCGCCGCGAGGCTGCGCCCGGCCCTGGCTGCCCCGTTGCAAAGGTCCTTGTCGCAGCAGGCCAGGTTCTTCACCTCCGAATTCAGAACGCTCTCCCCACCCCCGGGGAACCCGGGCAGACCCTCCGGCCGGAACGCCTGTAGGGTCTTTGAGGCGTCATCGCAGGAGGGAGCACAGCTCTTGAATCCCATGGTAACCTTCTCTGTGGGCCAGAGAGAAGGCGCCTGACCTGGCAGCCCTGGTCCCGCTGCCCTCCCGTCCGGCCCCTCGCCCCCCTCTCTCCACCTAGGCTTGGCGCTTGGTTCTCGGCCGCCGGCCCTATCAGAAGCCCACCCACCCAGCCCCAAGTCCCTGCTCCGGGGGCCCCCCCTCGGTACGCCTGGTGACGAGGCGGGCGGGGTGACGCACACCGGCCTCTGCCACAGCCCCTCTCCTTCCACGAGGCGGGGGAGCCCTGGGGCAGAGCCCCCGACCCGATCCCCAGAGGGCTCTTTCCAGGTCCGCCCGCGCGCCCCGGGCCTGCCAGCACTCACCGCCGCTGCCTTTCACCGTCAGGACCAAGTCGCCCTTAAAGCAGACCCCGCCGCACGAGGAGACCTTGCACTGGCTGGTTTCCTTGTCGGCATCGCAGTTGTAGCACTGCAGGCTCAGGGCTGGGGGTGCAGACACAGGCAGGCTGGGTCCGGCCCCGGGCAGGCAGAGCCACCCGCCCGGCACCCCCTCCAGGCCCCTCCTCAGGGGCTGTGGCCTCTTCCTGCCACCCGGGTCCCGGAGGACGGGCCCCTCACGACCTCACGAGCAGGAGTCGCTCCCCACGGCAGCCCCGGCCCCCAGGACAGCCCCCGGCCCCGCACACTCACCCCGCCTGGAGCACAGCAGGGACGCCAGCAGGAAGAGACAGGCGGCTTTCATGGTTCCGGGCGGCTCCCGCAGCGCGGCCCAGCTCCCCGCGCGCTCCTCCGGCCGGCAGCTCCCACCCCGTGGCCTCTGACTGGCTGCAGCCTGGCCCCGGCGCACCCGCCTCTGGAGCCTGTTCCCCAGTGGGCCCAAGCATTTGTACTGAGCCCCCCTCTTTCCCCCGCCCGGGGAATGCAAGGCGGGCCCGTCGGTCTCCGCTCTCTGTTTCCGGGGTCAGTCCCGCCCTTACCAGGAAGGGTGTGTCCTCTAGGAGGCTGCGAGGAAGCAGAGTGGCAGGGCAGAGTGCCAGAGGGGCGCAGGGCTGTGGGGTGCCCGTGGGGGGCAGGGCTGCGGGGTGCCCGTGGGGGGCAGGGCTGAGGGGTGCCTTTGGGGCGCAGGGCTGAGGGGTGCCCGTGGGGGGCAGGGCTGAGGGG